TGGTGCTTGACAATGTCCATTGGGCAAAATAAAAGCATGTAGGTTTCTCCTTCAAGAACTTATTTTCTGGTATTGCAGATCTGAGGTCTAATTACTGAGTTTACCTTTGATAGTGCTGGCCATACCTGGGTGCAGAGTCAGGCTGGGACTCTGTCCTCAGGGTCATGACACAGGTGGGACTCAGTTATCAGTAGAATGACATGACTAAGTGCCAGGCCTCTCAAGATAGCCACAAGCCTTCTGCAGAGCTGGACAATCCTGCATTTCAGACATTTGTCTCAGAAGTTGGGTTCAGGAGATTCAGGAGGTGCAGGCACTTCAAAGGGCCTGGGACTCCACCTTCCATCCCTCTGGCCCCAACCCTGAGACAGGAGCTGTATTCTGTCCACCATGTCTGGTGCTGGGAGAGGTTGGTTTGACTTCTGGGCTCTTAGGACTAAGCAACCTTGGCCTCTGCCTCTGGGTGAGGAGAGCAGCCGGGGTACAAGCATGGAGAAGTGGAAAAGCCCAAGATCTGGGGAATAGTGAGGAGAGGGAAGGAGAGGGAGATGGAGAGCATCAGGAAGAGGAAAAGGGGAAGGAGGAGGAGGGATTGAAGGAGCAGGGGGAGGGGGAAGGAGAATTAACAGAAGAAAGGAGCCTTGCTGTGTGCAATCATCCACACCCAGGACACTCCTGGGCTGCATGTCCTGTAAAGCTGTGCTAAAATAAGAACAGTTAAAGTTCTTAGGCTGAGGCCAAGGGAACTGACTTTGGGCAGGTAACATATAAATATGCTTTACTGAAGGCAGACCCCTCTGACCTGGAAGCGAATGTGGGGCTTTGCCTTTGGTTCTGTTGTTTCCCACTTGTGTGGAGCGTGGTCTGGGGTGGGAGGGGATGTCCCCCCAGGCACACATGACAAGGGCAGAGCAGGCAGATTGGCCCCCATGCTACCTCTGCTCTCCTAGGGGTCTGGCCTATCTCCATTGTTACCTGAGTAGGCCTAGATATTGCTGAGTGCTGGCTCCTCATGGGAGACTGGGGTAGCTTTGTCCTTGCTGGGACTTGGAGCAGGAGCTGTGCTGCACAGCTCTGTCTGATGTCACCATCCTCACACTATGCCCTTCTCACCCGGAACCCTTCTCTCTGGACCCGGGTAGCACACTCACAGCCCTGCCCTCCATTCAGAGGCTTTTAGAACACATGTCCAGGAGGGGCAATGCTTGAAAGCTCTTGGAAACATCCTGGCAGTTACAGTACACTTGTGCCTGCTGCCATGAAGCTCCTAGCTGCCAAGACCCACCCACACCAGGCAGGGCCGTGTGCATTGCTGCTGGGCCCTGTCCTCCCCAGCTGTGCCTGGTGATGCCCTCCTGGCTATGCTTGTGAAGTCCTCCTGCCTAGTTACCTGGGACTGTGCTGGACTGCAGAGGGCCACACTGAGGCGTGTGATATACTAGGGAGTTCCACTATACTTGTGTTGGCCTGCCTGACCCAGTGTACTCCGAGGTCCTAGTCTTCCCATTGATGACTCAAGGAGTAGGCATCCTCCTAAGCACTATAGGGTGAGGTTTCCACAGACTCAGAGTTCTCTCTCTGCTGCTGGGCAAGCCTCAGAGTCAGCTTGACTCTCCAGCTGTGCTCAAGCATAGGTCAAGACCTCAGCCATAGCACTCCAGGGACTCACAGGGATGGCCAGCAAGGAGCACTGTCCACAGCCACTCATGGCTCCTCTCCACACTTAGGCTGACCCTAGCCCTGCTCTGGGAAGCACTGCTCTGGGAGACTGAGCCCAGGTGGCCAAAGTGATCACGCCCACCTTGTTGGTCTGCACCACCTCCCTGTCCTGCAAATTCCATCCTGGGGGCGATTCCAGCCCCAAGAGCTCCAGGCTTTGGGGACCCCAGCAGCTGCAGAAGAGGCAGGCCTGTTCCAGTGCATGGGCTAGCTGGGCTCTTCAGCAGGCGGGGTAAGAAGGCAGGAGGTTCTTAGGAGTCTGCACTTCCAGGACTTCCTCAGGACCCTCTGCTTGCACAGCAGGTCTCTACAGAGTGTCCCTCCACACACAGGCCCTTGCATGAGGCCTGCCTGGGTATTCCAGGAGTCCAGCCATCTGGCACCATCCTCAGATAGTGAGGAGAAACACTGGTGCTGTGTTCCCTGGCCTGACCCTGGTCCATGCTCAGGTTGGGTGTCCTCACTTTCTTCCCAGTGGGATGCAAATGTCAAGTTAAAGAAGGTCACCCTGGGCAGGTGGAGATTTCGGGAAAGCACTAAAACCCAGATGTCTGCTTTGCAGGGTGCCAGGGGCTTGGTGTGGATATCTTCCATGGGTATGTGCTCACAGACCTGCATGTGAGTGGGCTGTGACCCCAAGAAAATGTGTGGCCCGGGTCCCTCGCTGATGACACAGGCAGAGAGACCTGGGAGGAGAAGCTTTCCCAGAGGTCGAAGGCTCTTGTCAAATCCCGCAGAGCCTCCTTGCTTTGTTTCTGGGCAGGATGGGAGAGTTCAGGGTTAATCAGCAGGGTACAGGTTCAGGAGGGAGCAGGTATGGGCCACCAAGGAACAGTGTGGCTTCCCGGGTGGCACTGCCATGAGCTGGACTCTTGGAGTGGGGGGCTGAGAAGACCTTACCACTTAATCTGCTGATCCACCTGGCACCACATAGCCACTCCATGGCTGGGCTGATTGCCGTGTGCTCCATGACCCATGTCTTAGGATGTACAGAACAGGCAGCAGACTGTGTTCGGGATGGGGGGTAATCATCTGTGTGCCTTAGTGCTGCACAAGTAACCCTCCCCACAGTGCACCTTTCCTGACATTTCTTTAAAGCAAAGCTCTGTTCTTTCTAAATTTTGTGTAAATGACAGCAGACAGTTTCTTAACACAGCTTTCCCTCAGAGGACAAGGAAAGGACCGATGACACGTGCAGCTGACCAGTTTGACATGCTGACAAGTTTGCTGTGAGTCCTGTTGTGAAACAAGGTGTAAAAAGATCCTTCTGCAGGGATGAGAGATTAGAGATTTTCTTAAAGTCCTGAATACGCTAGTTATTTTTCCTTGGGCTCATGGGAAATTCCTTTCCTCTAAGAACCCTGTGTGAAGTGTGAGCTTGTCCTCAGCTTCCGGCCTGCATCTGTCACAGCCTGGTCTCTATCTGTGGCTCTGCAGCCTGAAGTGCCCTCTCTGGCCCTGGGCCATCTCAACTCGCTGGTTGCACTTGTGGGGCATCCTGTCTGTCTTTACAAAGCTGCAGTTGGATGTGACTCCAAGGTCATCCTACAGCAGCAGGTAGGAGGTAACCCTTGAAGGAGGGTGACAGTCAGTGCCCTGTTCTGGAAAGCCAGCCCTGATAAAAGAGTCATTAGGGAGTATGAGTGGGACCCCGAGGCTAACAGCAGAGCGGGAGGGGAACTCTACAAAGGACAGCAGTTACTTGGCCTTGGGATTCCCAGAGAGGGGCTCCCTATAGGCATAGCCTGGACCTCCAGCGTACATCCCCATCCCTGGGGTTCAGCCCCACAGGGAGCTCAGGTGACGCTGCCTGACAGGGAGCTCTCCTGTGCACAGATCAGCCTGGTGGCTTAAGCACTCAGCGCCGATCCAAGATGAAGACTCTGTGAGTGCCAGAGCTGCCCTTTGCCAGCAGGGTGGGCTCTCAGGTGACTGAGAAGAAGCCTGTTAGTCACCAGACTGACACTGTCTGAATTCCATGGAAACAGGAGATAGGCCAAGCCAAGGCACGCTGCAGTGTCAGTCCCCGGGCATCTGTCCTGAGTACCTGTCCTTGGATGTCTGTCTGTTGGTTCCCCGGCCTCTTCTCTCACCATTGGACTTTTATTACTGGCAGCTGCCACTTGTCCTGTGGCTGTGCTGCCTGAACCTCTTTCTGCCCTGTCCTGTCCAGAAGGGTCATCCTGGCCTAGTGTGCTGTGCTGGCCCTCCGTAGCACGCTTTCCCACTCAGCTTTGTCTGTGGACCGCCTTTCGGATCTTCTGGGGGTCCCAGGAGCCGATGTCCAGAAGAGTACAGATGGCCCCTGGTCAGTGCTGAGACTGAGGAATGTTCAACAGGGGTGAGTGTGGGCCCTGCCCCTTCCTGTGTGGATCAAGGAAGGGCCTGACCTGGTGAGGGCCATGAACCTCGGACCTCCATGCCTTGGGACCTATGCTTTATGCCTGTTCAGGTGCTCTGTGCTGCTGAGGTCAGCTGAGCGTGTGCAGGATGAAGTCCCACTGCTCAGCATCTCCCTTATAGTACTGTCCCTGTATCCAGGCTCCTGGGTAGAAATTACTCCTTTCCTCTCCCTGAGGTTCACCTTGGAGAGACCAGAGAATTGTGGAGGAGCAGTGGAGCTGATCTTTGTTTATTTTGCCTGAGTTGGGCAGGCACAGGGTCCACAGGGCTGACCTCTAACATGGCAGGAAACGTCTCACTCGGGCTGGTCATGCTGAGGAGCCAGGCATAGTGGCCTAGCACCTACGGGAAGATGTCTTCGGATGGAGGAAGGGGTCTGTCCAGAATCTTTCAGACTGCAGGCTTAAGTGAGTGAAGTCTAGAGGCCCAGGGCTGAGCCGCCCTGACCTTGAACCCTCAGATCTCCATGCGGAAGGTCAGGGTGCTCCCTGCCATCTTCTCCCTGTAGTCCTTATCAAAGGCTTCACTCTGGGCCACAGTGAAGTGGTTCTTCCAGTCCCCGGGCATCCCTGGAGTGAGACAGGACTCAGTGGTGCTGCAGAGCACCAGGAGGATTGGGCGTGCACCCTGGGGACCAGCAGCCATGGAAGATGAATAGGAGGAGCAGGGGGGATGGGAGGAAATAGGAAGGGGCCTCTGCAAACTGCACAGTGGTGATGCCAACAGGAACAAGAGGAAGGATGCAGGAGTTGCCTCAGGACCCAGAGGTGGTGCTCGGTGCTCAAGATGCCAAGGCCTTACCTTTCCTCATGAAAGGGGAGATGGAGTGGTCCATGACGCTGGTGGGCAGAGTACTGTAGTTGGCCATTGGATTGTTCTTCATCATCTGGAAGGAAGTGTGGTAGACGATCTTGTCCAGGACTTCTTCGGTGACCTCTTTCTCTAGGAACTTGAGGATCTTCCGAATTTCCCTCTTTGGGTCCTGTGTGTGTAACAGTTATAAGAAACAAGAATTTGGGTCTCCCTTCAGGAAGGATGTTCATTTTGGGGAGGGATGAGCTAAGGGACAATTCAAACATGGTCAGCAAACAATTCCCAAGAGGAACCAGTGTGAGGCACTGTGGTGCCCGGATGCCACAGCAGCAGCAGCAGCAGACCAGGGCTGTTTCTGCCACCAGAGGAGCCTTGTGGCTCCTTGCTGAGCCAGTCCTTGCTTCCTGGCACCAGATAAGCCGGGGATCTGGAGAAGGGTCTCTGGGAGATCCCTCTGGAAGGGGCAGTGTTGGTCAGAGGGACAAACTCCTATCTGCACGGTGAGATGTGCCAAAAAATTGTCTCTGATCCTCATTGAAGACCAATAGGAGAATGACTGGAAATAACAGACACAGAAAGGCAAGGCACGAAACTTCCCATTCCATTTCAGGTTCTCTCAATTTTGGCCCAGGATGTACTTTTATAATCTGGAGCAGCCCAGAGATCTGCTCCATGAGATCTTGGGGTTGGATCTGGGGTGCCATTCTCCCAGGGCAGCGGGGAGGGAGCAGCTCTGGCTGCCTGTGTTTGTTCAGCCTAAGCTCCGTGAGTGATGATGCTCTGAGTGTGGATGAGGGGCATGGACCCTGAGTGTCTCCAGCACAGCTTCAGCAGTAGGATGGCAGGGCTCTGTGAGGTAACCTCCAGGGAGAGACTCCATGCCATCTCTCAGGCAGAGAAACAAGGCTCCTGGTATCCCGCAGGTTGGCCTGGCAATGTGGCTGGGCTTTCTCTGGGGAAGGAAGATGCCTGAGAAGTGCGGAAGGCCAGGGGAGGGACAGAGTTCTTGGGGGCAACACTGAGCTGGAAAGAGGGAAGGAGGGTTCAGCTCAGTGCCAGGTACCCTCGGGGCTTGGCTGGAACTTTCACTCTGGATGGGGAGCTTCAGGGGATGCTGCACAGCCTCACCTCCTTCATGTCCTCATAGAAGAGGTAGAGGATGCGGTGCTGGTCCTTCCGGTCCCACCACCCCTTCACGTGGTCATACCAGGAACCCCAGAGCACTGTGGGAGACAGGTGGTGTCAGGGCAGCTAGAAATTTGCAGCAGGAGCACAGCTGGCTCAGATAGAGAGGACATCATAGGGACAGAGACCATAGCAGGAGTCTTGCTGGTGGAGAACCCAGGTTTTTTTTTTTTTTTTTTTTTTTTTGTAGAATATTTAGGGTGCTTATCTTACGATTCTGGATTCCTGGGATTGGGTCTGTCCTGAACCTCCCCCTCCTGAGATACTGCCTCTCGGCTGGGGCAGAGTCTTTGTTTTCCTCCCAGGCTGCTCTTTGCACAGATCTGTGGCAGCTAGTGAGTGTTTGCTGGCAGGGTGATTTGGGAAAGTCTCACTGTGGACACCTGCAGTTCCCATGCCTGAGGCCAGGGCTGGGGTGGCGGTGGAGGGAGAGGTGCTCTCAGCAGTGACTCAACCTGTGGAAGGCTGGCAGCTTACTTGCACACTGTCACTGGGTTGCCCTGACTGTGCATATGGCTGGGCTTGGTTGGTCAGGGGCAGGAGGAGAGCAGGGACAATGGGCACTGCCATTGTCACCTCTGGTTTCTCCCGGGAGCTCGTGGTCTTGACTCTGGTTGAAGTGGAGTGGCCATCTCCTGTTCCAGGCACCTGGGGCTCCCCTCAGAAGCCCTATCAGCCCTCGTTTCTCCCTTAATTGTCCCAGATGACAGCAGTGTATCATCTGTAGGACCATGGGGCCTCAGTGGGCCCAGTCATGAAGTGGACACATTCTCTCCTGATGTCAGGAGATGATGAGAAATACAGGCCTCGCTTCCTTTCACTTGCCTTTTCCGGCCTTGTAGGCTTCAATGTACTCCTCCCAAGTGCCAGGTTCAGGCAATGCCTTATTCATCCTGTAAAAATGGTAGTAGGACACCAGGCAGTCCTTGGCATTTCTAGCCACGTAGATGATCTGTAGCCAGCCAGCAAAGACAGAAACAAACAGAGACATCATGGGTCAGGGCTCTCAGGAAGCCTTCTGTAGAATTTAGACCAGTCCACTTGCCCGCATAACAGAATATGGGGGTGCTTTTAGCCCCTGGGGGCCCAGGGACAGCTCTGGGTCACAGCTGTGTGCTCAGAATGACCAGTGCATTCTGTCCTGAAAGTGTCCTGGTTTGCATGAACACAGCTCTTGCCCCAAGCCTGGTAAACAAAACAGCATGTACCAGGGTCTCAGAGCAAGAGCATCTGCATCATGCAGTTAATTCCTGAGGCTGGAAGGACAAGACCAAGGTGTCTGTGAGTGTGGCCTGCGGCGAGGGCTGCTTCCTGTACACGGGTGTCACATCCCACTCAGGAGCCTGCCCTGCACTGCACCACCTCTGCAACCCCTACCTCCTGCTGCGCAGAGTCAGTGTGTGGGTCTGGGAGCACCACATTCAGACCCTGGGGCATGTGGTATTAAGCCTGAGAAACATGGAGTCCCAGATCTGCTGCACAAGGAGTCCGAGGCTGAGAGGAGCCCAAGGGGCACTGAGTCCCCCTGCGTCATACCAGGAGCTGACCTCAGCCTTCAGGGGATCACGCTGCTACTGTGCATTGACAGATGCAGCCTGGGCCTGGGCAGTGCTGAGTCTTTGTGGACTGTAGGAGTGGGGTCTTCTCCCTGACAGGCCTGGGTTGGTGAAGGACAGCTGACTCAGCCTCATGCTTGCTGCCCCTGCCCAGGGGATCCTGTGGGAATTGTGCATGCTCATTGCAAAGCTGCAGTTTTAGGTCCATGGTGCTGTTCCTGACCCCCGGGTAAGGTGTGGTTCCCGGGTAGGCTTCTGGTGGGCACAGTGGACCTCTAGAACACAAGACATAGAGGGAGATCCCTGGATTACCAGGAAAGAGCCCTGAGGGACTGCGAGACCTGGCTGTGTCTCACCTCTCCCTGCCACGAGAGGTCAAATGGAGTGGACCTCAGATCCCTGAGCCCACAGGAGCCTGTCTGACTTCAGCCACCTAGGTTGGGTCTTTGCTGACTGACTTGGTTTTCTCCAGTGTCTCATGCATCTCCTGAGTGATTCCTCTCAGTGAGTGGCCACATCTCATGCCTCCCGTGTGGCATGCCCACCTCTCACCATTCAGCTCAGCATGGTTTTGTGTCTCTGCCCCTCCTCACACTGGATTTCTATCCCAAGTTGGAGGAAGCAGCTAGCAGCCTAGGAAGAATGCAGCAATGGCCATGTCTTCATCCTGTGTAAGTGTGTTATGCGCTACGTTTCCTGATGCCTATGTGGGCTTGCTCTCAAGGCCTGGGTCACTGGAAATAGAAGCCTGGGAACCGAACAGCACAGACACGTGTACACTGCAGTAGGGACTGCACTGGCTGGCAGTTTCCTACAGTCTGTTGATCTGTGTCAGCCTCCACCCTCTCCTCTGACAAGCAACATGAATTTCCTGGCTTAGCACAATGCAGATCTGCCTTCTTGCATTTCCAGTGGCTGCTTCCACTGAGTCCTCCTGGAGGATCTGGAGGATGCTTATTACCATGTCACCTTGGGCCTCTGAAGTCTCTTGCAGTCTCCAGCTCTGGATCCATCCTGTGATCATTGTTCTAGGCTCACGCCGAATCCTCCCTTCAGTGGCAACCCTGCATTTGCCTCAGTCCTTCGGTGAAGACCCTTGGAGTGGCTACAGCCCAGGCAACTTGGGACAATCGTCCATCTCGAGACCCTCACCATGGTTACTCCCTGAGGGTCATGGCTTGGGAGTGAGATTTAGGGCTTGGCTGATCAGCAAATGGACATGTCTCAGCACCAGGTTGGGCACCGTGTGCCAGCAAAACATGGAGATTCGGCTCAGCTGTCTCATGTGACTTCCTACTCACAGAACCCACAAGCTCAGTGGGCAAGGGAGGCGCTGCCACTGGGGTTCACGTTCCCCAGAGGATCCAATTTACCACCAGGAGGCATCAGGGTGAAGGTCTGACAAGGGGCCTTGTGTCCTTGATGAGATTTTGAAATGACACAGGGCACCGAGCAGCAGGGATAGCAGAAGTGCAGGGAGAAACAGTGAGCGTGTCACAGTCAGACTGGTGCAGGTGTGACCGCGAAGGCGTGCAGGGACTGGGCGACAGTGGGTTGGGTGTGACTCTATGCCTTTGCTGGCCGCGTGCAGAGAGGAGGTGGGTAAGCCACAAGATCCTTCACTCAGCCCGCAGAGCAGGGCTTCCCTTGGCCTGGGCTCTTCACAGAAGGGGGCGCTCCTGATGGAAGACCCCAATGCTGAGTTTCTGGTGTGGAAGGGGAGGAGAGCAGGCTTCTAGGCCCTCTCTAATCATGGCCCACTCTCCCAGAGGTTCTGGCAATCGGGCTTCCCAAGCAGGTTGCCTGGAAGACAAGGAGGATGGGCAGGTCCTGCTGACAGGTTGGTCGCATTTCCATGGCTCTTTTTCCTTTGGTACTGGAAATTGAACCCCAAGCCTTCACCCTCAGCTGCATCCCTAGCTCTTTAAAAAGTTTTGTACTTTGAGACAGAGCTTCTCTAAGCTGCCCCAGCTGTGCTTGAACTTGTGATCCTTCTGCCTTAGTATCCTGGTGTGCTGGGATGTCAGGCCTCTGTATCCCGCCTGGATTAGTGCAGATTCTTACGTTACATTTGGTTTGTATTCGATATTTCATTGAGTTTAAGACTTGCTGGGGAAGCAGCTATCAGAGGGAAATGGGAGCTAACTCCACATACCCTGCATTTATAGAACCTGAATGAGGAGGTATCAGAATAAGGTGGGTTTTCCAACCAGAGGAAGCAGAGGGAAAACACCCCTGGAGCTTCCCTGGTGGACACAGGCTCTGCAACTGTGGACGAAGCTTCCACCTGCTGGAGAAATCTGATCTCTCTTCCTGGGGGAGCAGAGCTGGCCTATGGACATCTGATCTATGTGGGCCCTTTGGGTAGTGGAAGGGGGCACTGAGCAGCTTCGGGGTCTCTGTCTGTGAGCACATCCCCCCTACTCCCCTGAGCCCACTGTCCCTGGAGGGCTGCATTTCCAAAGGTCCTTGAGAGCCAGAAGCAGGGACAGGGAGGCTGGCAGCGGTTCCATGGCTCCAGGGGACTTAGAGCAGCACGAGGAGCCTTGCTCAGGGCGAAATACAGCTCGTGGCTCTGTGCTCCTTCCTCCTCTGCTCTCCAGTCCTCTTCACTTTGCCCCACATCCCCTCATGGGTCTCCCATGTGGGCCTCTTTCATGGCCCTGTCCTCCTGGTCCTTCTTCTTTAGGGATCCAAACAAAGACACCAAAATTGCTCAGGAGACCTCTATTTATCAGTCAGCTTTCCTGTTGCTGTGACAAATTTTCCAACACCCACAGTTGCCAAGAGGTGAGGTTTATTTGTCCCATGGATTCAGGGAAGCTATTTATGGTTTGTTGCCTCCAAGGCAGGGGCATCCTGGTGGACAGACAGGTTCAGTAGGACAGTTTCTCACTTATTGTCAGCCAGAGAGCAGAGTAAGGAAGACCACAGAGAGGAAGGGGCAGGGACCACGCAGGCCCCAACATCACAGATCCAGAACCCACCCAGGCACCCTGAGCGGGGCTTCTCCAGTCCCTGGTGGCTCCCCAGCCAGTCAGATGAATCCTGGCCATGCCACCTGCTTTCTGCCACCCAGCAGCCATTCTGAAGGTGATGTGGTTGGCAGATGATCAGAATAAACTGCCTGGGCCTCCCAATGTGTTCCCAGGCTCATGTTCCAAAGGGAGGGGAATGGGTATGTGGGCTCACGGGTCACACCGCCAGGTGCCCAGTTCCCTCCTCATGCTGATGCTACTCAGGTGGGGACCCTCTCTGGCCTGCTGGGGATGTGATCCTTGGAGGACTGGGCCCCCCTACCTTGCAGTTTTCCTTCCAGAAGGAGGGTGGCAGCAGCTGTGCGGGCAGGTGCGTCTTCAGTGTCCTGGGCGATGGCATTGCATCGGCCAGCTCCAGACCTGGGAGGAAAGGTCCTTACAGACATGCGCCCCCACAGCAGAAGCCCCCAACAGGGATTTGAGTCATTCCAGGGTTGAACTCTATGGGCCTACACAGGGCCTTTCCAAAATAGAGTCATAGGTGCTGGAGGTTCAGCTCAGTGGCAGAAGTGCCTGCCTGGCCAGCCTGAGGTCATGAGTTCAATCTTCAGTCCCCTTTGCTCCCAACAACAAAACAAAACAAAACAAAACAAAACAAAACAAAACAAAACAAAACAAAACAAAACACAGGGATCAGTGCAGTGTGCTGACTCAGGACCTTGTGTAGGACAGGGTGGCAGTGTGGTGACCTGGGACCCCTGTGCAGTGTGCTCATGGGGTAAGCATCAATCCTTCCACCTCTCCTTGTCGGGACTCTGAGGTCCTTTCCTCTAGTTCATCACAGGTCACAGTGAGGGCACGTTACAGCACCGGTTGTCCTATGCTCTGGACCACAGGCCTTGGCCCTGCCTCACTGTACTCGGTCTTGTCACCTGATCCCCAGACCCCAGACCTCTGCTCCACTGTGCTGTACAGTAGGATATCTGTCCCACAGAGAGCCATGGTGCATGTCTGACATGTGTGTGTCTGGCCTCTCTCAGGGGGGCCAGTTTCTTTCACTAATCGTAGCAATGTGAAAGGCTGTGTCAGCTCCCTCTGCTAAGAAGGTTCTGCTGCCCCCAGACCAGGGCTGTCAGCCAGTGCCTGGCACTCAGCAAGCCCTTGTGCAGACTCAGCTATCGAAGAAAGGTTGCTTTGCACTGGGTTTGTGGGTGTGGTCAGGGTTGGTGGTACTATTCCTGGGCCTGGGGTGTGTGCACATTGAAGCAGGGAAGAAGCAGATAAACCATTGGATCTGGGCTGGGGGTGAAGGAGCAGAGAGAAGGTGAAGTACTCTGTCCCTTGTGAGGGGGACTCCTACCCTGTGACCAAAAGACCTGATGCTGGGTCCCTCCAGGGCTTCACCACACCCCAGGAACACCCTGCAATGCTTTATCCTTAGGTCTCGGGAAGCAGAGGCCCTGAATATGCTCTTGCCCCTCAGGTGCTTTAAGGCCTTTCCCATGTGCCAGGGCCCAGAAGTGTCTGTTCTGGGCCACCATGTCCTGCGTTTCAGGAACAGCACTTGGACCCCTTTCAGCTGCTCAACAGAACCTAAGCCTCTGTCATAACCTCCCACCCATCCAAGATAGGCCTCCTGCAGCCCTTGTGGCCAGGCCTCCTCTGTCACTCACCTGACTTGAGGGGCGGTGGCATCTCCCACTCAATGAATGGGTGCATTTCGTAGGTGATGTTGCGCTGGCACTTGAGCTCATCCCCGTCATGCTGGATCATGTCCACGATCTCCTGAGTCCAGGTTGTGCCTAGAAGGGCCGGGACAGACTTGCTCCTCACGCTCACGTACTCATGGCTCGGTCACGGGTACAGGGCTGGGAATGAGGTCACATCCTCCGAGTGGCACCCAGGTTGGGCAGGCAGGCTCCTGTGCTCACAGTCCCTATGTTAGCAACAGGTGCTGCCTGGAAACAGCTATGCTCTGCTTATCACTGAGGCTCTGTCCCTGACAGATTTGTCTTGACTCACTATGGGTTAGAGGGATGCAGCGACATGCAGAGTGAGTTCACCATGCGTTACTCTAAAGGTCCTTTATTTGCATGTTCTCCTGAGACAGGGTTTTTGTTTGTAGTTCAGGCTTGCCTTAAACTCCTCAAAAGCCTCCTGCCCCAGCCTCCTGAGTCTGCCAACACACCTAGCTAGCTTCTCAGGAGGAGACAGGCAGGGACAACATCTTAGCTCACTGCCCCTCTATTTTCTTCTAAATGAAGACGCCTTCAGATGCTAGGTGGGCATGTAGGTGCTTTTGGCCAGGGCTACATGATTCAGGCTTTCTAGAAACTGGAGATGGGGCCAGGCCACTAAGTTCCATGACATTTTCTTTATTAAAGGAAAGTAAAACAACTATTTCTCTATTTCTACTTCCTTGCTATTCTGGTTGGAACTGCAGCTATCACATTGGGCTTTAGTATCAAAAGCCACCTGAAACCAAGGACATGGAGAGTTAGAGAGAGCCAGGGTTGCTCAGCGCAGCTCTCTCAGCCTCCCATCACATGTCACTGTAAGGCAGATGCATGCCAGAGACACCAAGAGTGGCAGAGAAGAAAAGGAATCCAGGGTGGGGGACCAGCTCTCCCTGTCAGGTCAAGAGACCCTTGAACCCAGAGCTGTTCACAGCCTTGCTCTGTGTCAGGGCTCGGTTTGGCTGCAAGGAACAGAGAACCCCAGGAACCCCAGGATGAGCAGGAGATGGGAATGGGCTGCAGGTGTGGGAATGGGCTGCAGGTGTGGGAATGGGTGCCCAGCGTGCGAGTGGCTGCGAGTGCATTGTGCCAGGTGTGCAAGGTGCCAGTGTTTGAGGCCAGGTGAGGAATGGTGGGGGCTGGCCCATATGTCTTGGCTAGCAGGAGGACCCAGCAGTGAATGAGGGGAGGGATCCAAAGTCCTGGACTGTGTGGTGATGGGGAGAAGGCTGTCTGGTGTTGGGAGCCGCCGACACCGGTCGCCTTACTTGGCGGACGTAGGGCCTGTGGGTGGGAGCGGAGCCTGAGCTAGATTGCCCCTCCCATCGAGTGAGTCAAGTTGGCGCCTGCTTCCTGCCCCCTGATTGCGCTGGCGACTTAAACAACCCGCTCTGTAAGATAGTCTGCCTAGCAACAACTGATGTTAGCCAGTCAGCCCGCATCGCGCGCTTTGAACTGATTGGCTACTGTTGCCCTATAAAAGTAAATGCCTCTCCCGCCACGAGGAGAAGCACACAGAGGAAGCACAGAGAGAGATAGAGAAAGTCCACCGGCGAGAAAGGGCTGGTGGCAGAGAGGAGGCCTCGCGGGGCCCACGCGGAGACAAATAAAGGCAAGGTTGCACACCGCCAGACTTTGTCGTGTGTCTTTCCTGCCGGTCGGGAGCGACCCCGACATTTGGTGGCCCGTACGGGGACTGATCAACCCCGAGACACGGCGGTGGTGTGCAACGCTCCAGCGTGGTGCTGCCGGACAGGTGAGTTGGGGATAAGCCTGGGCTCTGGGTGGCGCGCACCTACAGGGCTTTTAGACTCCCCTCAGGCTCACGCGTAGGTGACGGGTTCTCTAAGTCACACGCGGTGAGTTACAGCCCTTAGAGGTTGAGGATGGGTAATTTACCGAGCGCAGAGGCGCGGCCCTTGGTAAAGGCCCTTAGAAAGCTTTTAAAAGCTAGAGACCTCAGGGTAGGTCAAAAAACACTGGAACTATTCATAGCAGAGGTAGATAGGGTAGCTCCCTGGTTTTTACCCACGGGGCATTTAAACCTGCCATCATGGGAGAAGTTAGGCGGGGACCTCGCCTCGGCGGAATTGGGAGGCGATATTTCGCCGGCTATTCGCCCCCTGTGGGAAATGATACATGCGTGCCTTGACTCCTATGCCGAGTTGCGCCGCGAATTGTGTGCGTGCGCCGCTCGAAAAAAGCAGAGAGAGGAAAAAGGGCCCCCGAGCGCTCTCTGGCGGGGAGGAGATAGAGAGCCATCCGCTCCGCCCTGGAGCTCTTCTCCAAAAGCGGCTCCCTGCCGAGAGGCCGCTACAGGGAACCCTCCCTTCTCTCAGCCGGCACAGGAAGTGACGCCCCGTTCCACTCTGTCGCGATCGCCGTCCTACGTTGCGCCGCGGGGCGGACGGTATTTTCATGGGCGGCTACTCTGCCGAGCAGGCTGAGAAAAACGCCGGTCGAGGAAACGGGGGCTGGGGATTTAGCTCAGCGGCATAAGCGCCTGCCTTGTAAGCAGGCAATCGCGAGTTCGATCCCTGGCACCGATAAAAAAAAAAAAAAAAAAAAAAAAAAACGAAAAAGACCAAAAATAAAAAAAAATAAAAAATAAAAAATAAAAAACAAAAAGGGGGAGTAAGCCAAGGCCTGCCTCCAAAGGCGAGGTTATCTATGGCATGACAATGGATGGGCCCGGATCCAGTGGTTAGCTGGAACCGAGGCGCGGTTTGTGTTTTTCTGCAGGAATCGGGACGAGAACCACTGTGGGTCCCAGAGAGGTTGCGACAAGTCCCTCGACTGAAGATCAGGCCTGTTCCACCAGAGGCCAACCGCAGACCCAACAACAAGATGAGCCCTAAAAGAACTGCAGGACAATCCCTTTTTGGGGAGCCTGGAATGGCTTGCTCCCCTATGTTTTACCATTGTTAGGTCCCCTGTGCTCCTTGCTTCTGCTCTTACTTGTAGGACCATTCTTGCTCCGATGGGTTACATCATTTATTAATGGGCGCCTTGCGGCGGCCCGGCGTCAAGTACGCCTGGTTGCCCATGCGGCCCTGGCAGCAGCCCGTGATGGGCACAATGACCCCCAGGCCTACGCATGGCTCGCTCGACTGGCCTACGACCGGGTCTAGGTGTGGCGGGTCTTCCGCATTCCTTCCCTAATGACACCACACAGCAGGGTAGGTGAGTCAATGACGGGTAAGAGCGTGCCTCCCCAGCACGACTCGACCTAAGCCAGGCCCTACCCCATGGCGCACGAAAGCCGCTGGATTACTAGAATCTGCCCAGATCTAGATGCCTCTCCGAGGGGATCACACGGAGGGGCATGAGTGCATGCCTATGTGCATCCAGGTTCCGTCCAGTTCACTCCTGGCCCTGGAAAAAGGACGAGGGTCTCAAGGCCTTGGCAGACCCGGGGGCGGCCGACCAGGGTCCAAGCCAAGGGCCTACGGTGGGCCTCAACACAGGGCATAAGCCTCTGCACTCAATCCAGGGCGGGCTGCGATGCATACATTCATTCAAAGTAAATAAAATAGGGGGAGATGTTGGGAGCCGCCGACACCGGTCGCCTTACTTGGCGGACGTAGGGCCTGTGGGTGGGAGCGGAGCCTGAGCTAGATTGCCCCTCCCATCGAGTGAGTCAAGTTGGCGCCTGCTTCCTGCCCCCTGATTGCGCTGGCGACTTAAACAACCCGCTCTGTAAGATAGTCTGCCTAGCAACAACTGATGTTAGCCAGTCAGCCCGCATCGCGCGCTTTGAACTGATTGGCTACTGTTGCCCTATAAAAGTAAATGCCTCTCCCGCCACGAGGAGAAGCACACAGAGGAAGCACAGAGAGAGATAGAGAAAGTCCACCGGCGAGAAAGGGCTGGTGGCAGAGAGGAGGCCTCGTGGGGCCCACGCGGAGACAAATAAAGGCAAGGTTGCACACCGCCAGACTTTGTCGTGTGTCTTTCCTGCCGGCCGGGAGCGACCCCGACAGTCTGGGAGGCAACAGAGCAGGTTTAGTTCAGGCCCAGGGACCAGTGCTGTGCAGAGCCAGCAGGGAGAACCCAGGCCTGGGATGCAAGGACGCTTTCCACTCTATCCCCGTCCTTTGTGTGAAACCAAATAAATATGAGTGTCCAGAGAATTTCTTTGTCTCAGGCCCCAGAGAATCTCTAATTCTGCTAGAGGCCTTTGATCTCCTTGAGCTCTAACGTTGTCTCTTTTATTTAAACCTTTCCTGTCCAGTGGTTTTGGAGATTGTGGGCCTGATCAGTACAAGACCGAATGTCACCCATGGTCTCTAGCTGAAGCTCTCCCTCACTTTCTGTTCCCAAGCTGGGCCCCCATTCCTCCACCTGCACCTTGCTGTCCTATAAACTTTGCAGACTCTGCTGAAGCCGGCCCCCTCTCTGACCCAGGCCTCTGTGCTCAGGGTGGGTGCTGGTGTCCTCCCAGCACACAGTCAGCTGAGGAAGCAGGGTCCCCTGTGGGAACCTGTGTCTGTGTCTCAGCCCTGCACCCACACACCTTGCCCCTCGACAGCTCTCTGGGCCCAGGGTCCCCGCCCTAGTGGTTTCCTTTAGGGACTCAGGAGCAGGAGTTCTGGGTGCAGGCAAGGAGCCCAGGGACAGTCTGGCTGTTGTTCTCTCCAGGCCCAGCCATAGTGGAATCTGCATTTCCTATATGAGGGGTTGTGTCTGGCATTGCTGCTGCCACAGCAAGGCATCCCACCTGCCTTTGGGTAGGTTGCGATGAGGAGATCATCAGGCTTGGCCTGGAAGCTCCAGATTTGGTCCCACTTGTCACTGATCAGCTTGGTCATGAGGATGCCATTCACCTCCTTGGTTGCTGGCCGCAGGTATTTTCCCTCCAGCTGGAGGTCTTCCATTTTCTCCAAGGACATCGTGGTGGTTCTAGTGGATTCTTAGAGAGAGGGAAAGCAGGGTCCTTTGGAAGAGCAAATATCACTCCCTTAGGGCATGACTCTGTCAGAGGCCTGAGAGACATATAGGAACCCTCCTGGTTCTAATGCTGATCCATGGGAGACGTGGGGCTGGGGTTTAAACCCTCCGCTGGCCTTCTTTGAGGACAGAGGTGCCAAGCATCTGTCCCTGAGGATTGGCACTGAGTCTGTGTCTGTCAAGTCTCCTGCTGAGTGACAGCTGGGTCCCCAGTATTCCCCACAGGGACCTGGAAGAGGCTGCAGGGGCTGTAGGTGCTGCAGAGGCTGCAGGGGCTGCAGGGGCTGGAGGGGCTCTAGGGACTGAGGACCACACTGGCTTTCTTAGACTTTTTATAATAAAATTTTCTTTCCTCTCCGGTTTTTAAAATATTTTTATCTTTTTTTGTCTTAAAGTTCAAGGGATAATAAAAGTAAAACATTTTAGAGAAACTCTAGTACCCATTGAAAGGCAGCAGGAGATTCAGGGTGTCTGCCATAGCCCCAGGGGTATCAGCTCTTCTCACCAGGTGCTGTGGGGGAGCCCACAATGCCCAGGTTCTGAGTTGGCTCTGGGAGAGCAGGGTTGCCAGCTCTGTGCTACAGAGACATGGCCCACACCCCCGTGATGCTGGACTATTCCTGAGAACCTAGTCACAGGATGGCACGTCAGAGGACTCACGCCTCTAGTGTGTCTGGGCTATTCCAGAGAACACAGAGGATGGTGCGTGCCCTGAGACCACAAGCCAGGTGGCCCATGCAAGCAGTGCCAAGTGTAGGCAGCAGAAGGCAGAAGGGTAGCCCTGGCCTAGGGACATTTCCAGCTCAGCAGAGACTGGAGAGAAGTAACCAAAGGCTGGGTGAGAAGGTAGACTGGGTTCTGGGCTGGGACAGCTGCAGAGATCCTGAGGTGCCAACGTTCCTGACGCAGCACCGTGGCACCCCTGCCAGGAGGACACAAGTTGTCCCGAGGGTCACTGTGGTCGCATTCCAGGTACACTCTGTGTCATCAAATGACTACAGAGCCAGGGCAGAAGAGGACTTACCTGTAGTCAGCAGCTCAGTCCATCTTCTTTTCCTGTAGGGCCCCACTGTGTCTTGCCCTCCCTGGTGCCTTTTGAGCATGTAGGGTTCAACTGCCTGTGTCAAGGCTGCTGGCCTTCTTTCCTCTGTCCCCCTGGCTCTGTGTTTAGCGGAGTGCCAGTGGTGTGTGAGGAACTTCTTAGTGTTGGTCTGGTGACAGTTTAAAGTAATCCAATCAGACTGGACATTTTTTTTTTTTTTTTGTCTTTTTCCTTTTTATCGGTACCGGGGATCGAACTCACGACTGCCTGCTTGTAAGGCAGGCGCTTATGCTGCTGAGCTAAATCTCCAGCCTCCAGACTGGACATTTCTTAATCCATTGTTTTTGGCTTAAGTAAAAATTCTCTTTTATTCTATGCCCTGCCAGAAAGGGTTTGACTGGATACATGTCTCAAGCTTTTTAAAATTCTTACGCAAGGTCATAAAACATTAACAAAAAAATCCTTCTTTAGAAGTGCATCTGAACACAGAAAATTGAGAGAGTGCTTTGGTGACATAGAAGAGCAGTGAGAGGTGAGAAATTTCCAGGGAGGCGGGCACAGCTGGTTTCCGCCCTGACTCTGGGCCGCCTGTGCTGTTCTGGGCATGGTGTAATGTGTGCCCTACCTTTCCATTAGTGCTAAGTGGCTCTGAACCTGCAGCAGCTGCCAGGGATGCAGCCTGCATCCTTCCAGCCCTCCTTCTTGGACCTAGCCAGTGGGATCTCCTTGCGGGAAGAAGGAATTGGGCTGAGCTGGCTATGGCCCTGAGTAGCAGAGGGTGTCAGTCCATAGCAGCCCTCGGTCTCTGGTCTTCTGGACCTCCCAGTTCCATGGCCAAGTCTGTGTCTTGGCCCAGGAAGAAACATGTCTGGCTCCTACAGCTGTGAGGTTCAGGCCACCTGGGGAGGACACCTCCTTGATGGACCAGGGAGGCCTCTCATTGCCTAATCCAACTCTGCATTGGGTCCCCACACACTTGCATTGTCTCTGGAAGCCTGCTGAGGGTCCCAAGTCAAGCCAGGTACAGCAACCCCGTGGTGGCTGTGGTTCCTGTGTCCCATCCCTCTCCCTCACCATGGGTGCCCCTGTTTTGCAGTTCTGGTACTGCTGAGGTCCAGTGGCTGATATCACAGCAAAGCCCACAGCACAGCCCTTAGAATATTGGGGACCAAAGTTAGAGAAGCATATTCTCTCCTTCATATCTTTGAAAAACATATTTTGGTCTTCTTTGTCAAAAGCAGCCACCCCTTCACCACTCCTAACACCCGTGTATTCTGGTCTATGGCTTGGCCTGGGATACCCAACTGGTACTCACCAGACTGCAGGAGAGTCCTGGACCTGCCCTGGCTCTCTGCTGCTAGCAGGCTGTGGTGGCCTGGCTGTATGTGGATCCTTCCTTGGAGAGGCAGCGGACACCTGGAGGCTCTCTGTGTGGCAGTGTGGACGAGGACTGCCTGACCGGTCTCCTTTTAATCCTGTTCCTCCCTCACCTTTTAATCCTGTTCCTCCCTCACAGGTTAGGAAGGCAGCAGGGATCAGGCCACCAACCACGTGGGATCCACAAGGGAGGGACAGGAGGAGTGGTGAAGGCACCGGACCCCAGCACTGGTGACTTTGGGGCACAGCACACTCTGGATCCAAACAGTCTGTCCTATGGCTGCCTGAGGACTTCCGAGTGAAATCACAGGGCACATTGCTGCCACCTTTGTACCTGCAGTGCAGGTCAATCAAAGGCCAGGGGTGGGGAAGCCTCACACCCTGTCCTAACAGTTTTCCATTTGAGTAGAAGAGAAATGCCAAAGGTTAAACATGCCTTAGAGCACTCTCTAGATTGGTTAAGGCTCCATTTTCGTCTGATGATATTGCAAATTGAGCATTTTATTTGGTGTCTTGATTCAGTTGTCTGAGGACCTGATGTGATTCCACTGTTACAGTGCCTCCTTCTGGAGGGGTGTGTGGTTCTCTCGCAATTTGTGAAAATCTGCGACTTTCATTTGCTAAGGCTAAAGCTGCCTTCACACTAAGGTTATTTTGTATGTGGGTTTTATTCTCCTTGCAGTGTGAACTTCACTACAATTTTTAAAATTACTCTTGTCCAGCCTTAAGTGCTGGTTTTATTTGAGGCAGTTGTGGTTCTCCACAGGATGTTGCCCAGCAGCAAACCTGCAGAGCTCACTGAAGGACAGTGCACATGGGCTCCATTCCTGAGTGTGTCCTTGGGGTTCTACAACTGGAGCTTGTGTCAATCCTGCCTGATAGTCAGGACCCTTCCCAGTCCTCAGGAAGAAAGCCAAGGCCCAGAGAGTGTTCACAATCTACGTGGAGCCAGACACCTGAATCCGATTCCAGCCCCAGAGCTGGACCCAGAGCTGTGGTGGACGCAGAGCCTCTGGGCCACTGCCTGCTTCTCCACAGAGGGTAGGGAGGTCCCATGGCAGGGGGTTGTGCAGCTTAACACCAAATGCACAACACCTCGTCTGCTCCACCTCCTGGAGTTGGCAGATTGTGAAGCAATGATTTTTGAAGGAAATGAGCAAACACTCACTTGTCTAAATACATAAACTATAAGTTTTTGTATGGTAAATAATAATCTCTGCCGCCAATTACATTAAATGAGAGTATTAAAACAGGTTTAAAGCTGCCCTAAACAGGCAGACTGAAAATTATGAATACCACATGTTTGATCTCAAATGATTCCAGTTTTGCTTGCTCTTGTATAAAAGGGCCAGGTGGTGAAATAGTGTGTTTCCTCTTTATTGGCAATTTCTGGATATGTAATGCCACTGTTCATAGTCACTAACCCTTCAGGCCCATGGGTCAGTGGTGGTTATCTGGAAGGTGCCTGGTGAACCGTGAAGTAATTGGCTGGGTTCTGCCATCCATGTCCATAGGCTTAAGACTTCCAACTGGACCAGCCAGTAGGAGGGTTGGTACACTCTGAGGGGAAATGGCCAATGAGGCCACTTTCACTCATCTGTGGACCATAGCATGTAGAAATGGTAAGTGCATTTGTGGAAAGTGTGGAGTGAAACAGAAGAGTCATCCATTAAATAATTCAGAATGAGGTAACCATTAAGGGTTTTATTTTTGGTTTGAGCATCATATGTTAGACAGGTGGTCTGCATTTGTTTACCTATACAGTGAGTCATCCATCCTTGCATCCATCCACCCATCTTTCCATCCACCTGTCTTTCCATCCATCCATTATCCCATCCATATTCTTGCCATGTACCTACCCATCCATCCCCCCACCTATCCCCCCATCCATCCCCCCATCCATCCACCCATCCACCTATCTACCCATCCACCAATCCATCCATCAATCCACCCACCCATCCATCCACCCATCAACCCATTCCTGCGTCCATCCAAAAGTGACTAAGTGCCTTTTTTGTGCAAGGCACAGTTTAGTGGTTGGTGCTATGGAGAGGGGCTTCCAGTCCGGTACAAGAAGAAGAGTAGCAATGCACAAGGTTTCAGCAGGTCTTATGCTGTGTAGAAAACAACCAGTGAGTGGTTGGGATTAGTGGCTGATGGTCAATAAGTTATGAGGATTCTTTGTGAGGCAAATGGAATTCAGCCCTGCAGGAGCCAAAATGGCCAAGAGCTTGGCAAAGGCATGCCTGGCAGAGAAAGAGCAGATTCTGAGATCTGGGCTTTTCCTGCTCCCAGAACAGAGGAGCCTGGAGCTTATATGGTCCTGAGGGGTTGCTGGCAGAGAGATCAGGAGGCCAGGCAGGGACTAAGCCAGGCAGGTTTTGGGACAAGAGAGCTTCTAGATGTCATCCCAAATCAAGAAGGGCCTTTTAGCAGATTCAGATCCATTGCTAAAAACCAAGCTGATTCCTATGTTGAGAGCCTGCACTGGCTGCTACTGGAGGACCCTTCATAAGAGGCTGGTTTGCGAATGGTGAGACCAACTCAGAAATTCTTCTCTAGTCACATAACTGCTCCCTGCAATCCACTTGGCCTTGAAATAAAGCTGAAAGGTGCTGTTTTTTTAGACTTTCTGCACTAAGTTTTGGTAATAGTTGTAGGATTAGATGCTCTGGGTAATGTTGTGGAATATCATCATGACCTGTGTTTTCCTCAGGGAAAGGGAAAGTCACAGGTCCCAGCCACCTTACCTTGGGCCCCTTTCCAGGGCCAGCACCTGTCAGGTATATTGACTTCCCCATGGTCACCTGTGGGATTGTGGTTTCTTGGCATAATGCAAGTGCTTTCGGGGAAGCTGACCACACTGCTAACTCACACACAGGGTTATATGATTTCATTGCGGGGAGTTAAACCCAATGCCTTGTGATCACAGAGGTGAGGGGATCAGTTACCTGCTGGCAAGGAGGACAGTGAATTCTCAGGCTGCACGCAGACGTGGGGAGCTGTGAGGCTGGCCATATCATGGGCTTCCTCGTTCCTTACAGAGAGGAAGGCAAATGAAGGCACCTTTCAGAAAGGCATAGGTGTATAATTTTAGGGAAGTCTGCACTGGGAAACAAACAGGAAGAAAGCCAATTTGTGAAAACTTAATTAGGTGGAAAAGTGACTTTTCTGGAGACAGAGTCCTACCTTCGGCAGGAAATGCCCTGTCCTGAGAATTTTAGAGTTGGGATGGGGTGAACCTTGTCTGTGGTTCTCCAGGGCCTACTCCTGGCATGATTCTGTTTTGGTGGCTTCAGCCTTTTGGAATTGGACCTTGGGCTCATGATGCTCAAGCCAGATAACTGCCCCTGGCCCAGAGCTCCAGAGATAGCCTGGCCTTGCTCAGGGACTCAAGGTGACTGGAGCTCTTCTGGAATATAACAGTCAGGGCTTCCAGTTGCGCCTTTGATCTTTTCCCAGTCAGGCAGGAAATGAGCAGAGTGACTCTCCTTGGGTGTTCAGGGTCCCCTCAGCTCTGAGCTACTCCCCATACTGGGAGGAAACTGGGCAGCCCAGGCAGAGTCAGTGGTGCAAACACAGGCACATCTGTCAAAGGCCAGGAGACAGTGGCACTGTGAGGGCTGAGGCCTTCTCCCGCTGTGTCCCTGACAAAGTCCTGCTCCCTTGGACCTCCAAGTGTGGCCATAACTGAGATGAGGTCTTTAGAGGTTGTCTTAGTTACTTTTTTTGATTGCTGAGACAAAACACCTGAAGCCCAAAGTTGGGAAAGGAAAGCTTTATTTCTTACAGTTTTTGGAGGTTTTAGTCCACACTCATTTGGCTCCCAGGCAGGCGGGCATGGCTGGGCTGCCTTTCATACCAGCAAAGAACAAGATGCACCTTCTTCCTGCCATTACATCACATCCTGGCTCCACCCCTTTGTGGGTGGAGCACTGACACAATCAATCAAAGCACTAGACAATGAATGAATAACAAATGCACAATTCAAACTCATGAGGCCTGGGGGACACAGACATAAACCATGACAGAGGTAGTTAAGGTAAAATAAAGTCCTTAGAGCCACTCCTGGTCCTCCAGGACTGGGGTCCTCAAGAAGAGACAGGAATGCTGAGGGGCCCAGAGGGAAGACCCCTGAGGACATAGAAACAACAGTGACCACCAGCCCAGAGGGCCTTCCATGGGATCAGCCGCGCAAGACTCCCTGATGTTGGATTCTTGAACCAGAGCTGAGAGATGCCGATTTGCACTGTGTGAGCTGAGCCCTTGTTGGACTGTGTGATGGCAGCCCACCAAGGCTTGCTTCAAGACTTCACCTGAACTTCCCTTCTGTGGTGCCAGCCTTCTCCTGTGTTCTCTGACCTGGGTACTTGGTGCGCCTGTTGGTTGGTGACATGCACTGTTCCACAGGTGACACAGAACAGGTCACGTGCCTCTCCTGTACAACATGACTCCTGTGAATTCCCTCGACATCAGCCAGTGTGTGCAGCTTGGGCTCCCCTGAGGTGCCCCTTCCCTACAGCAAGGTGCAAACTTTCCAGGACTCTGTGTCCCATCTTCCTGTCCCTGAGGTGAAGCATACAACAGCCTGTGCGTCTGTGGAGTGTGTAGTACAGGCAATGGCCACTTCCTGGGCCCATGGCTCACGGAGCAGCAGAACCTGTACTGGCTGTAAAATCCCCAGGGTGTGGAAAGAAAACTAATAAATGTTAGCTTTTAATGGAAAATTGTCTCTCAAATATACCACTACTTAAAATGCCACAAATGTTTAACTGAGCAAATGTGCATAAGGCGGTGAGAGAAGCTCTTCGTCCTGTTGCTTCTCTGGCTCTTTGTTCAGAGGTATAGGATTGGCAGCATTTCCTGGTGCACCTTTGCACTAAAAGAAGTTTTCATGTGCCTTCTGTCAGTCTATCTTTCAATCATCCATTTAAATATCTCCCTATCATCTACCCATCATATGTGTCTCTACTGAACATCACCCTCTCCATCCATCCCCATTAAAGATCTATCCACCCCCAGCTGTCTTGATATCTCTGTCCATGAAGTCGACCTTCTGCCCGTCCATCTCCCTCCGAGCCCAGTCCCCTGCCTCCTCTAGCCTTATCTACACTACCTACCCTTTGTCTATTTTGTTATGTTTATCAAAAGCCAAAGAAAAGTGAACTTCACTATGGCTCACAAATCTTCCCACGTCTCCTCCTCTCTCCTTTGGAGAGGTTTCTTTCAGTTCTTTACACAGGTGCACAGAAGCTGTGTGGAGCCAGGCTGTGGTGGGGATCAGGCTGCTGGCTTCTG